ATGAAGCTCTCTATGCACTGTTGTGCTAATCTGAAGGCCACATGAAGTTTGGAGATCTTTAGCCATTGAGTCTGCAGACAGTTGGCGACTTCTGCACACTGTGCATGCGCTGACCCTGTTTTGTCATTTTACATGTTGTTCTCAGTTGCTTCCACTTTGTTATAATACCACTAAGAGTTGAGCATGGAATATTTAGTAGTAAGGAATTTTCATGGATGGACTTATTGCACAGGTGGCAACCTATTATGGTATCACACTTGTATTCACTGAGCTCTTGAGAGTGACCCATTCTTTCACCAATGTTTGCAGAAGTAGTCTGCATGCCTAGCTGCTTGATTGTATACACCTGTGGCCATGGAGGTGAACATTTCCCCCTCTCCTGTCACACTACCCCCTTCCTGTCATGCCACCCCCCCACCTGTCATATTTCCCCCTCCTCCGTTCAAACTGCCCCCCCTCCTGTCACAACACCCCCCGCCTCCTGTCATACTGCCCCCCCGCACATGTCATACTGCCCCCCACATGTCATACTGCCCCCCTTCTGTTACATTGCCCCCCCACATGTCACATTTCACCCATTCAAGCTGCCCTCTCTCCTGTCACACTGCCCCCCCACCTGTCACGCTGCCCCCCTCTTCTTTCACACTGACCCCCTCCTGTCACACTGCCCCCACCTGTCACACTGATGTAATAGTGCCTGTCCCTGTGAACCCACAGGAGGAGACTTCTCACTTCCTGTGTCTGTGACCCCCACCGGAAGGAGACTTCCCCCTCAATTCCTGTCCCTGTGATCCCACTGGAGGGAGACTTCCCCAAACTTCATGCCCCTGTGACACCACCAGAGGGAGACTTCCTGTTTCTGTGACACTACTGAAGGGAGACTTCCTGTTTCTGTGACACCACTGAAGGGAGACTTCCCCTCACTTTCTGCCCCTGTGACACCACCAGAGGGAGACTTCCTGTTTCTGTGACACCAATGGAAGGAGTCTTCCCAACAATTCCTGTTTATCTGACCCCACTGGAGGGAGACTTCCCCTCGTTTTGTCCCTGTGACACCACAGGAAGGAGACTTCCTGTTTCTGTGACACCAATGGACAGAGTCTTCCCAACAATTCCTGTTTCTGTGACCACTGGAGGGAGACTTTCCCTCACTTCCTGTTTCTGTGACCCTACTGGAGGGAGATTTTCCCTCACTTCCTGTCCCTGTGGCACCACTGGAGGGAGACTTCCTGTTTCTGTGACTCCAGTAGAGGGATACTTCACCTCACTTCCTTACCCTGGCACAGGAACAGCTATAAAAACATTGTCAGAGGTTCAGTACCTCCCTTGCTGTACTATAAATGTGTTTCTTTTCTGTGCCCCATGGAATACATTTCAAGCCACCTCCTGCAGTATAGAGTATCTGATCAATTAGTTTATCTGCTGCTGTGGCTGGAGAGGGAGAGATTGCATGTGAAGAGAGCAGACACAGCCAGTAACAGACAACCTAGAGGAGGGAGAATTCAGTATAAAGTAGACTACATAGAATGAACTAAACATTTTGCACATGCATGCTTTACATTTATAAGATTGTCCGTTAACTGTGCTGCTGTGTGGTGCTGAGTAGTGTGGCTGGAGAATGAGGGGACGTGATTCACATTGAAGTGGGAGAGCACACATTCAACATGTACAGGCCTAGTGTACTCCCCCACATTCACTGAATTCCCAGAGGTTGATGGGAAGTGTAGTTTCTTGAGAAGAGAGGATATGATGTAATCCCTGCAGTTACATTTTCTCCTTACATTACAGAGATGACTTCCTAAAAATTCAGTTAGAATTTTCTCTTAATTGTAAGGAATTTCACAAATGTATTAACTATTTAGTGTTTTGCGTAGAGGGGTGTACTAATTGGTGATTTTTGTTTGCCTATCCCAGAGTTCTTCTTTAAATTATTATTTTCCAACTTGAATGACATGTATTGCTTTAACAAAATCTGACATCACACTAGTTTTGCATAGATTTGTAATGATACAGTTAAAAGGTTTGTAAAATGAATCTAATAAAACTACACTAGGTAATATTATTTGTTTTACATCCTGAAGCTACACTATCTTATCATCTAGTTTTACTGCTTAGTAAGTCAGTAACCCAATATAAACTGAAGATAAGCTGAAGAATGTGGATGACTACCTGATGACAGGGCTGGTTCTTCCACTTGGTAAACTAGGCAGCCACCTAGTGCACACTAAAATATACAAAAAATGGTGTGGTGCTATATCATAAATATACAATATATATAATTACTGTGTTAGATCCTACAGGAGCTATAAAGTGTCTAACACGTGATAAAATATATCAAGCAGTGCAATATATTCCGGTCCTATCCAGGGACCTTTTTAGTGACAACAACCTGTCCCCAATGGGACCAACCCAAAAAATGAATATGTGATATCAAAGTGGGTCCCTATACAAGGATATATAACAAATATTGCAAGTGATCAGTGTAGTAATCCACATACACTACTATAGCATATAAAACTATAACCAAGTGTCCAAACAATGCAAAATAATCAATAACAATTGATGTGTAGCAGTGCCTTTTCATCGTTAAAGTGCTCCAGTGCTGGTGCAAACGGTGAGTATAAATCCTAGATGGCAGACATGCCCCCTCACCTCCTTGATGCGATCCACAAGGGTCAACACGCTTTTCTGGATCTCCCCGTATCCTGCAATCAATCTCCAGGCCCCTCAGGTTCCACTGCCCCTTACTGGTATCTCCTTCAATGCAAATCACTCCTCCATATACAGGTAACCATGTATGTGCCCATATATGCACACCATATTAGGACCTCTCCTAGGGACCATGACCCTAGGAAGTACAGGGGGATTGTGGGAGAGAAGTCTACTCATACGCCATTTATTTATGATATAGCGCCACACCATTTTTTGTATATTTAATTTTATTGTCTGCACATACAGTTGTGTCCAAAATTATTCAACCCCCACTGAAATTGAGTGTTTTGGCCAGTTTGACATTGCTTTTGATCATTCAGTCATCTTGCTTACATTTACATTAAAGAGGCACTTGTAGGTCAGACAAATATAACATAACAGTTATAATGAAATAACCACAAATGTCTTTTCTGTGCTCACAGCATTATCAGTTTTATTCAACCCCCAAGTGACATTCAATCTTAGTACTTAGTACAGCATCCTTTTACAGTTATAACAGCTTTTAAACGTGAAGCATAGCTTGACACAAGTGTCTTGCAGCGATCTACGGGTATCTTCGCCCATTCTTCATGGGCAAAGGCCTCCAGTTCAGTCACATTCTTAGGCTTGCGCACTGCAACTGCTTTCTTTAAGTCCCCCAGAGGTTCTCAATCGGATTTAAGTCTGGTGACTGCGATGGCCACTCCAAAATGTTCCAGCCTTTCCTCTGCAACCATGCTCTAGTGGACTTGGAGGTATGCTTGGGATCATTGTCCTGTTGAAAGGTCCAACGTCTCCCAAGCCTCAGGTGTGTGACGGACTGCATCACGTTTCCATCCAATATCTCCTGGTACTGAAGAGAATTCATGGTACCTTGCACACGCTGAAGCTTCCCTGTACCTGCAGAAGCAAAACAGCCCCAAAGCATGATTGACCCTCCACCATGCTTCACAGTAGGCAAGGTGTTCTTTTCATCATAGGCCTTGTTCTTCCTCCTCCAAACATAGCGTTGATCCATGGGCCCAAACAGTTCTAATTTTGTTTCATCAGTCCACAGAACACTATCCCACAACTTTTGTGGTTTGTCCACATGGCTTTTGGCATACTGCAGTCGACTCTTCTTATTCTTTGGAGACAGCAAGGGGGTACGCCTGGGAGTTCTGGCACGGAGGCCTTCATTACGCAGTGTGCGTCTTATTGTCTGGGCTGAAACTTCTGTACCCACATCTGACAAATCTTTTCTCAGTTCCTCAGCAGTCACACGGGGACTTCTCTCCACTCTACGCTTCAGGTAGCGCACAGCAGTCGAAGTCAGCATCTTCTTTCTGCCACGACCAGGTAGCGTTTCAACAGTGCCCTTTGCCTTGAATTTGCGAATGATGCTTCCTAAGGTGTCTCTTGGTATGTTTAACATCTTTGCAATCTTCTTATAGCCATTGCCCTTCCTGTGAAGAGAAATCACCTCTTCTCTTGTCTTCCTGGACCATTCTCTTGCCTTCACCATGTTTGTAACCACACCAGTAAATGTCTAGAAGGAGCTGAGTATCACAGTCATTTTAAAGCTGCCTAATTGGTGCTTATTATGCTTGATTGCTGCTCGGTGACATCCACAGGTGTTTTCAATACCTGATGGAAAGCACCTGTATGAACCTCTGTTCTTCAGGTGGTAGTCTTTAAGGGGTTGAATAATTGTGGCAATGAAGAAACCACATAAGAACCATTTACTACTGTATTACATAAACAATTGATGTCATTTTAGTTGCATTTGGGTAGTTACAACGTCCTTGTAGGATTTGATTCTGAATACAATTCCAAATGTACACTATAGTCCCTAAACCCCTTTACAGCATTGGGGGTTGAATAATTTTGGACACAACTGTAGGTAGTGGATTGGGATTGAGCAGCATTCATAACATTTCATAGCAGCGCAGGGGGATTTTTACATTATTTTTCACCTAGTGCACAATGCCACCTAGGGGCGCCTGGGCACAGCACAGGCCGGCACTCTCTCTGTGTGGGATACCGCCTCATCATGAATGATCCTTCAGCGGAGGGAGGCAGCAGAGGGGAGGAAGACAGGACAGAGGGTGTCTTGGGCCAGTGTAGCAGCTGAGCTGCTGTTTCTTTCAGTGTTCCTCTCAGACTCCGTCCATTATTGAAAGCTGGCTGGTGGCTGCTGATCACTATGGAGTTCCAGCCCTTCTCTTCCCAGTCATCAGCGGAGGCAGAGCTGCGCCTGCAGAGGAAGGTGATGTCTGACTCTGATGTCTCTTGTCTGTGTGAGTGTGACCCAGCTGGCCATCCATAACATGTGCAATGTGTCAGTGAGTGATGACATCATCACAATCCCAAAGCCTGCTGTTCTAGTGCTTTCTGGGCCTGCTGATCTATGTCAGTGTTGGTAAGTCGGATCTGTCACTGTGTAGGATCACTAAGTTCAGGTGTCGTGTGTGTTGCCTACTGTCACAGCGTTTTATCTCCCCCCCCCCCCCCCCATTGCCTGGGGAATTCCAGCCTGGGATCTGTCAGTGTGGATCCATCATCCTCCACTCACTCCAACTGTCACCCTGCCACTGCCAGCCGCAGATACAGTCCATCCGTGACACTGATTTTGCTTTATTATTGGTTCGGGTGGCATCTTATGGCAATTATTTTTGCAAATTCTAAGAGAGTTAGCAGTTACGTGTTTGGTTCATTTTAATATTTTCCACTATCTTTTTTTTTTTCATTTTGGGGGGGGGGGGGGGTGCAAATAGCTGGTCTTGTCTAGGGTGCAAAATAGTCTAGCACCAGCCCTGTCTGCAGATATCAGGTCAGAAATAGCAGCTCCCTTATTTCCCTTTTTTTTAGGTGATCCTAGTTGCTAGCTGGCAGAAGTTACAGCAGAATAACCACATAAAGAAGATGACGTACATTTGCAGTAGGCAGTGTGTGAACTCTGTTCGTAAGCTATGGTCATCGCTGCTACCCAACATAGGTAGCCCACTGCTGAGAGCTTTGGTTTTTTCTGCCAACCCCTATGCCAATACTTGTGTCTTGTAATGATGTAGGAGTCGACAATGGAAATCCCAAACATGCAGCAGGGGAAACACTATCTAACACACTGGAATGTGTGGGGTAGTCAAGATGGCTGTAGCTCATGAAGAGAATGAACATTTCCCTTGCTAGTGTGCTCTAACGTTTGGCAGCTAGTGACAGGTTCATGTTAGCCTCTCACAGTCCATTGCAGTGATAGGAAGACATTTAGTGGCCTGTGCTACAAAATGTACTCCAGACAGCATTATTGTATATAAGTTGCGATTGATAAATCCTATGAGCTTTCAACTGTTTTTTCTAAGGTGGATGCAGATCTCAGATTTATGATACTGATGGATGGAGTTCATCCTGAAATGGACACTTGTATTATTGTAGAATACAAAGGTAAAGTTGTTTGTTTGATTTCTCCATTGTTCCTATATTTTTTGTTAAATTGTAATTATTCCTCACACACCAGTATATGAATTTTTGTACCAATAGGTCATAAAATCCTTAATACGGTGGACTGCACTCGGCCTAATGGTGGAAAGCTCCCCACAGATGTTGCTATAATGATGAGTGACTTTGCTGGAGGTGCGTCTGGATTTCCAATGACATTCAGTGGTGGAAAGTTCACAGGTAAGGCTTAAAAACTGAATTTTGCAGGTCCTGAGTAGTAACAGTTTGCTTTGTATATACTGTATCCTAGCAACATTTTCCCATTTATTGACCAGGAGAAAAATTGAATTCCTAGAAAATTTTGTTGCAGAATGTAAAATACAGTGGATGGAGTTCAGCAGTTTGGGAATGTAATAAATAGCACAGCTTACATACAGTATATGGTATATAGTGTTTCATAAACTCAAACATGTCTACACTGGCAATGGTCAGTGTAGACTTGCTTGAGTGTATTGACGGGCAGTGGAGAAGTGCACAGGTTTTGTAGCGTTTTGTGTAAGTTTGTGAGTGTGATCAATGGAGCAGTGCGCTGGTGCAGTGGGAGTGAGTAGAAAAGTGGGTGGTTGCAGTGAAAGTTGATAAAGAGTGAATGTTCATAAGTGAAGTGCCAGTCATGGAGATGTATGCATTGTACAGTACAGTTGAGAATTTTATGTTTCTGCAGTGGTAGTCAGTTCAGGAGTGTTGGTGGGTACAGTGGTGTTCAGGAGTGAAGTGTGCAAGTGAAATGGTGGCCAGTGGAGAAGTGTTTGGGTGCAGTGGTAGTCAGTGGAAAAGTGTGCAGCTGCACTGGTGGTCATCACTGACTCCACTGCACTGGCTTACTTTGTCATTGGAGTCCCAATTCAGGGTCATTCAGTGGAGAAACATGCTGTATGTAGTGCATGTAGAGTATGTAGCAGCCAGTGGAGTGCATAAAGTGCATGACTATAGTGGTGGTCAAGGGAGAAGTGTGTGACGTGTCCTTGGCAAGAGGGTGGTTGGAAAAATTCAGCTTTGTATGTTGACATCACTTACTTGTGGCTCTTGGTTGCTGTAGGCAGCAGAGAGTCAAAAGACCCTCAGCCACGTTGCAATAGCCAAGCAATTAAGACGGAAAGCAGAGCTACCACTCACTCTCTGGGTCATTGCTTTAAAGTAACCCCCCCCCCCCATTACCCCCTTGGGAGTCACTGAAGTTTTGGGTTCCCCTATAGTCCTCCCCTATAGTCCTGTAGCCAAGCAACACACATTTTCCACACAGACTTGCATCCATGAGACAGTAACCAGTCTTTGAGCTTGTTTTTGGATTTTATTAAGGGATTTAGAATGTGGATAGGGTATGGGATGCCCAAGAATAATGGCAACAGAGGTCAATCTTCCTGAACTATGTAAAAGTCTCTTTTCTCAGCAAAAAAAGACAGATCCCTCTTCTTGTAGAGCTAGCCAGTATCTCTTGTAGTACCACCCCAGTACTTCCTTATCCAGCTGTTCTGGGAAAACCCCTTGGTAGGGGATCCAGTGTCTGTCACTTTAAGAGAAGACAGTCCTGGGTAATAGCTAATCCAGTTTTCCACCGACCGCTTCTTCCTCTTCCTGGCCCAGGGGGTGCAGGTCTACTCACTCAGTCCTTCTATGAGCTGCTGGGTTGGTGGCTGCTCTCAGCCCTTCTGCTGGGCAGCTCCTTCCCCTGCTGCATAGTTGGTCCTTGCTCTGGGGCCGGTGAAGTCCCAAGCTTTCCTCCTTCCAAGCTTCCCTGCCTGTAAGTGAACCCCTTCCCATCTGGGCTCCCTCACAGGCACCTGCTCTCCAGCCTCACTTCTCCATCTCCCACCCAAACTCTACTGCTGCTGAGCAGGCTCAAACACTCTTAAGGGCTGCCCTGGCCCCATGCCAAGCCTCCTGTTGGGGATTGGCCAAGATCCCTTGAGAGCAGACCAGCTACTCCTCCTTCCCTCCCACTGCTTCTAGAATTTTCTCAAACTCTAGAGCAGGGGGAAATCTCAGAGAGCTTGTCTGCAGAGCCTCTCTGCTCCTGACCGAAATTTGACCCCCTGACTATTACACCTGGGATGCTACTGAGCCCTTCTGAGAATTAGAACTCTAGCTCCCCCTAGCTACCTAGAAGGGTGCTACAGTAATACATGGTTAGAATACAATGGTTAAATTAAGCAAATTTGCTGTATGGCATAGTGTAAAACACAGATATGATAAATTAGTTTCTGTTTATATTTGGTGGCATTAGGTGATCTTTCCCTTTTCCATACAAAGCAGATAATCCCTGCAGACCATGGCTGGAGGGCAACAATGTATTTTTTTAGCTGATAGAATATTGTTCCCCAAATGTAAAACAGCTGCCTGAGGAGTCTACTTAGCCCATAGACATACCTTGTATGTCTATAGTACAAACATACTCCACTCAATATCCTCAATACTGTATAGTATGTGTTGGTCTGTACAGCTCAGAGAGGGGTTATTGCAGTACAGGGAGCATGTAGATAAGAAGTAACAGCAGAGATAGGTTAATCAGTATACTGCTTCTCCTTTCAGTGTCCACTCACAGTGTGGGGGTTGGTAGGAAACGTGATTAAATATGAAACTGCAAAAGCAAAAACTCAGGTCCCCTCTTCTGCAGGACAGGGCTGTGTTGTGAGGCAGAACTGTGTAGATCTCAGGGATGGATGGACAGAAATACAAATCCTTTGGCAGGTAAAACAGCTCTGTGGGTATTTAACGGTTTCCCTGGAGTTCAGCTTTAGGCCCACCTGATCATAACTACTACCAAGATTTTTCTAAATGAGTATCAAATTATATACTAAGACCATATGAGACTCAGAGTATGCAACATAACATGCTACTTTATTTGCAGATAGCAGTGAGAGGAGCAGTGTTAGACATATTTCAATACTGCGTCTATGCAACAACATATATATATAACAACAAAATACTGTATATCAAAGCAACGTCTGCTTAGCGCACTCTGCAAATAAATGAACTGATATGACCTGACATGACAGTCTCTCACGGAACTGAAATGAACCTCTGTTTTATTGTACTGCAACCCAGTTCATTGCAGGAGCAATTGGTTTCCAGCCAAACCATCCCATCGCATGAAAATTCCATTTACAGGAAAGGTTCTACCTGAATGACTTGAGCACTCTCCCTATCTGAAAAACCTGTGATATGATAAACTCACAAAGCTTCAGATTATCACAGAACTGGTAAAAAAAAATCATCAGTGTCTAAATGATCAAATGTTGGGGGTAGTAATTTCCAAGAAGTGAAGAATAAACTCCAAGCTTAGGGAGTGAATATTTTAAAATGTGAAGAAAAAACAGAATCAATCAGCCATTAAAATAATACTAAACCTAGGACCCTGCATTCACTATATCTGGTCTCCCACAGTAGACAGAATATGGAAATGCAATTATTTTAGTAAATATAAACTGCTAAATACCTTTTCTCAACAGCAGTATATAGCAGTCTTATGACTTCTATAAGTGTCCGGCCGAGCACATGTTAAATCTTGAAGGAGGAGTTTTCTTTCTGCTGTAGGAAGATGCAGAACCCCTGACCTCTGTCTGGACCGTGCTGATTGGCCCTATGCTGATCACATGCACTCTCCCAAGAAGAAAAAAAACCTCTCCAGTAATACACACCACACTGAGCATGTGCAGAGTGACTCCACATGATATGTCTTATCAAGGGATAAGAGGGGGACACTGGAAGAAGGGGAGGATCAGAGAAGTCAGGATCAAACAGCGTTTGTACACAATGCAGAGGATTAATCCCTTAGATTCCACAGTAAGTATAACACGCATGCTTTACTGCATATACGGACTTATTTTACTGTTGTGGGTTTGGTAACACTTTAAGCCAGTTCTTGAATTTGAGAGGTCATAGACAGAGCCTGATTGCAAATGAGGACAAAAATATATAGTAATTAAAGTGATTTTAATATACACTAGCAGTCAAAGGTTATAGAACACCCCAATTTTTCTGGGATTTATTGAAAATTAAACAGTTCAATTGAATAACCTAAAATGGTGCAAAGGTAAGTAGTGAACTGCCAGAGGTGAAAAAACTGTTTAGAGTAATAAAAACTGAAAAATAATGTACATTTCAGTGTTATACAAAAAGGCCTTTCCGGGGAAGTAGTCATAGGGTAATGCAGGCTTTGACAAATCCAAGTC